TTAAAACTTTCAATTTCACTTGTGAATTCGTACTTTTTTAAATCTTTGCTATATTTAATAGCGAGATCTGCAGCTGATTTTTTTTTAAATCAGCAACACTCATGTATTGTAAAGACGAGCCACAGAGAAAGCAAAAATCGTCACAGATAGTTTTCATTTTTTCATAACGCCAATCTATTTAACACAATAGTGTCAAGAACACTGTAAATTTGTATTTTAAATAATTTTTCGGGTGTGAAGTTACTTCTTTCATTTGGTGTTTTATCTATTTCCATTATCTTAATTTATTTTTTGAGAAATTTAAATTTATGTTTATAGTTTTCAAATTTATAGATTTTTCTCTATTTTATAGAGCTCTGGCAACTACTAATATTATTACGATATACAAAACTGTATTTCTAGATTTTTCTACAGTGTGCAGAGCTATAAATCTGTAAAGGTAACATTTTGTAACAAAAATAAATCTGTCCGAGGATTTTTTAAAAATTACTAAATTGAAACGGTAACTCCCAAATAAAATCTTAGTCTCGAGGTTGTAAAAGGCATGCAGAAATTCTGACATCATTTTTTGCTTTATAGTGTACGCATATGTGGTGTATTCCTGAACGGCGGATTAAGCGGTAAGCGAACTATGCGGGCGCGTAGGGCCCCGAAGGGGCTCCCGCAGTCTTTAAAATGCTACTGAAAGAAAGGATTGCGAAAACGCAGATAGAAATAGTCCAGAAAAACGCTTCGATATATATAGATACATGGAAGAAATAAATGATATAGCTTTATGGCCAACAATATTAACAGATGCTATTATTGATCATATTCTTAAAACAAACCAAAAAGTATAGAAAAGAGATTTCTTAATAAACGAAAAAAAAAAGAGTTAAAAAATCTCAAAAGTCGCTACTTTTGACCGATTTGTCTGAGGTCTCCGCTACCTCACTACGTCCCTCTAAAAGTCGCATCAGTTGGGAACAGGGAACACTGGTGAGCAGACATCTAGGGTCTAAGTAAGGCGAAATGTAATCGCCAAACCGCGCTGTAGAAAGACGGAAAAATTTTAAATTTAAAAATATAATTTCTTGAGAACAACAGTTTGGGCCCCCCTTCCAAGTGGGCCCTGTGCGGGTGCACCTGTTGCACCTGCCTAGTTACGGCTCTGAGTGAGCTTTGAGCGTTCCACGATTTTTGGAGACTGTCTATACGCGGGCTTCCTAAACAAGCCTATATGTATGTTTGTCCAAGAAATTTTTGGATGAAATACAAATCGCACAACTTCAAAATCGCATAAAAATAATCCGCATAAAAAGAGACCTTACTGTATTGCCATACAGAAGAAAGAACATTCCCAATTGAATACTTACGCATCTATTAATTTTGCATGGTAAGAACTGCTCTTTCTAAAAATAGAATCGCCTTTCGTTCCAAGAACCGTATCTGAAATACATTTTTCATTAGAATAATATACGCTTCGTACCTCTAAAAATAATATATATANTCTTCCCGAGAATATCGAAAAAGAGCTGCTGGAATATATATTGTTGACGGAGGTCACATTTTTCTATAATTAAAATAATTTTAATATGGAGCTTTTAGTCCAGAAAACCTAATGAACTAATATGAAACGAATAAAGTTTTTTTCTTTCTATCGGCTAGGTTTGTATTCACTTACATACAGAATAAATAACTGAACAATACTGAAAACTTTACGGAAAATTACGTGTCGGGTGGTCCAAAATTCAGTTAATCGCATTTTGTTTTTGCGGGTTCCAGTTTCAGAAATATCGGACGGCGATACAGATCGACGCCATCGAATTGCGAAAATGCCGGAATTTCCGAAAAACCGAATCTAGTATAGAATTTCCAAGTTTATTTTATAAAAGCTGGGTTAAGTGACATTTCATCCACCGTATATTTAATATTATAGCAAATATATAAATACCCCGAGACGGAATTTCAGTCGAATCTGTTCGATTCCAGATTTTATAATCCGATATAAAATATACTGCACTTACGGCGCCCAGAAAAAATTCGATTTCTTCGCAGATGCTTTCCACCGTCAGTTCCGGGTTGTTATCTCTCGCATCCAACAGGAAGTCCAATATGGATTTTGGGTTTTCGTTGTTTTCCATGCCGCTTTCTTCGCCTTCGCGCAATTTGATCTTTTCGGCGATCATCTAGAAAGAAAACTAAAATTTACAAATATTTCTTTCAAATTATTGCCGGACTCTGAGAGTTTTCTACCAACCTGTCTCGTTATTTTTCTTAAAATTCTCTTGTTCTTTCTAAATTTTCTTCCTTTGGGTGTTAAATAAAACAAGAAGTCGAACAAAAGGAGAAGATTAATCGCTCTGTCGGCTACGGGATGAAACGTCCTTAAAAAGAAATGTGACGTGTTCGAACGTAAAATTAGAATACGAAATCTGTAAATATTTCGAAATCGCGAAAACGTAAAAAGTTTTAAATTATTTAAAAAATAATATTTGAATTCTTTCTTTAAAATCTTATTCCAACGTTTACACAAATTACTTTTCGTTATCGATATTGATACAATAAACATTGTTTAATACGCGTGTATAGTGTAATCGTTGAGTTTTCTTATTAGTAGTTATTTTAAAAACAAATAAAAACTTTTCTATTATTGTATGCGACATTTATAATTATAACAACGAGTCGAATAAAGGGGAGTGAATCCGAACACTACGAATTGGAATTTTAGTGTTCTCACCGAGTGAAACAGACAACGAGCAATTATTTTATTGTCACGCGGTCGCAATGGATTGCAATTTTTTAATCATATTTTTAATTTATTTAACTTAAGATACGTGTTCGCCACCTCAAATTACAAGTGGCTCGTCCCCGTACGTCATACTTTTTCTTTAGCAGTCGATTCGTGTCGGCCATCTATCTCACTCTTTTTGGAGAAAAACTTTTAAATTGAAATAACGTGACTTCCGGAGTAAACCGGAAAGGCGTATATAGTTAATCGAGGCCTGCTGCCCCTAATCTTTGCATATCTGGTCTCGGTTTTCGTGTATCCGACTCCTTTCTCGGGATTAAGGAAGGACGGAACGGGCAAACGAAGACGGACGACAGTGGAAATTTATAGGTGTGTAATTTGTTTGAATTGTAGCCAGATAAGGATCGCATTCCGATTCGCTCGAGCCGAGATAATTATACAGTAGCGACATTTACGCATCAGTTGATTACAGTAGAGCGTCGTTTATCCGAAAGCTGGTTATCCGAAACGTCTGTTATCCGAAAGCATTCCAGTCGGCAAATTTAAATTTTCGCTAGTGCTATGGCGCTGCAATCTTCGGCTATTTCTTGGGTTACTCAAATATTTTACGTTTTTGATACTAAATTAACATCTGAAGTATAATTTTTTATTGTTTTTATATGTTTGTTTGTACAAAATAAAAAAATAATTTTTAATGATACAATAGTCTTCGTTAGGCTTAACATCGACGAAAATTCAACGCGAAGCGACACGCAACGGAGAAAAATTTCAACATGGGACAAATTAATATATTTTTTCGTACATGATTCGTTATCCGAAAAGTAAGTTATCCGAACCACCCCAGTCCCCAATTGATTCGGATAAACGACGCTCTACTGTATTTTTTTAATCGTATCGAGTGCGAGTAAGACAGCTGATTGCTAAACGACACAACTAAGTTTAGATTGGGAAAACAGACTTTATAGGACGCGTGAACTTAAGAAAGAAACAATAGTGTTCCTATAAGTAAAATGCCTAGCAAGAAGAAACTTATGTATCGAATACCGTATTGTACTTGCACGGGAGTGTTTGGACAGATTAGACACGAATTACCCAATATAGTTTACCAATTTGTCACCTAGAACTACGTCCCACGTCCGTTTAATAATACAGTCGAGCTTGCCAGGTTTTCTCGATGCGTTTCGTTTTCTAAATAGCGCGGGTCGCCTCTCAGAAAAACACAGGGTTTGTCAAAGGGGATGACCGAAGAAACTGTAAACACATTTTGAATTGTCTCGAATGAAACAGGAACAACATTAAAAACGCTTTCGGGCATGTTTTTTTACATTACATTTAGTGGAGCACTCCCTCTGACCTGTAGCATTAAATGCTACTGGCTTGAGGTACTCCTCTTTTAATTAACCCTGCTTCGCATATGCTTTGCAGGTAAATGCCTTCGGGCATTTTTAACGTCGAAGAATATGAACAGCAGCCGAACAATAGTACGAAAACTATTTTCCAGCATTTTCAAGCAAGAGAAGGGTCGAGTCGAGGAAGAGGAATAAGGGGATTGGTCTGAGAGGAGAGCGAAGGGAGCCAAGCAGAAGAGAGCGAAGCGAGTGGGATTGGCCCTTGGCGGAGACACGAATCGTAACAAAAGTTTTGTTACTAATAGTCAACGAGGTATCCGACCTTCGGTCGGCAAAAATACATTTATTGATTTTGGAATACAAAACCTTAATCTCCTTCAAAGAAGTCTTCTTGGTAATGTATATGTTACCGCTAAAACTCGAAACTCGCTAAAGCTCGGAAACTACGATCTGCAGATTACCTAGCTAATCTGCAGATTAACTAGCATGATCCGTTAAAGTTGCTAAAATTGTTCTATTTCTCAAATTACCTAGATTATTGTCCTATTTCTCAAATAAATTTGCAGATTATCTACGTAATCTGCAAATTACCTACTAGGCACTCGGTAAAGTGAAAATAAGATCTTTGCTGAAACAACAGCAACGTTTCTGTACGCTTAAATTAACATAATGTTATTTATTTAATTTTCGATATCTAAAGAATCAAGTTAATACAATCAAACAATCGACAAATTAGTTGATAGAATCAATCATCAAGCGATTTAAAATATTAATACAATTAGGGAAATTATTATATAGATAACCACCTATGGAATTTCGGGACTGAGTATCTATCTGAACGGAGGGGACCGAGACGACTTCGACGATACCCTACTTTTGAACAGGAGACGAAAAATAATAAAGTTATCATACTTTTCTGGTGATGGCATGATATAATTGTGCAGTTAATATTACCTATGGTGAGTAAAATGGCGGCTTGTCTCTGATTCCAGCAAACAGAAGAACGGAAACAGTGGGGACGCACGTTCTAACCTAACCTAACCTATGCTAATAAATTATAATAATTATTACCAACCAAATTATTAGAATAGGTTAGGTTAGGTTAGGTTAGGTTTGAACGTGCGCCCCCACTGTTTCCGTTCTTCTCTTTGCTGGAATCAGAGATGAACCGCCATTTTACTCACCATAGGTAACATTATCCAATTGTGCTTACTTATTAGTGCAGTCTAAAGATTGGTGACACTTTGAATTTCATAGCAATTGGTTTCTGCGACAAGTACACCTATTTGTGGTACATTTATTTGTGGCAAAGATCTTATTTTCACTTTATCGAGTGCCTAGTAGGTAATGTGCGGATTACCTAGATACTCTGCACATTATCTAGGTAATTTGAGAAATGGAACAATTTTAGCAACTTTAACGGATCACCCTAGTTAATCTGCAGATTAGCTAGGTAATCTGCATATTAACGGATTTCGAGCTTTAGCGGTAACACATACAATTCGCCCAGCGCTCCTGCCATTGCCGGAACACACTGCTGGAACGCATCTTTTTGAATGGCCATCAGCCGGTCCGTCGCATTCCGCACGATGTCTTCTCTCGACTAAAATCGGGTTTCCTTTTAGCAGCATTTTCAGCTTGGGAAATAGCCAAAAGTCACACGCAGCCATGTGGGGAGCGTGGCGAACCATAGGAATGTTGTGTTTGGCGACGAAAGTCCGAATCAAATGCGCAGAATGGGCGAGTGAGTTATCACGATGGAGCTACTAAGTTTTGGTAGACCACAGATCCGGTCGTTTGCGTGGCACAGCATCGCAAAGACGACGAAGGACCTTCTGGTAGTACTCCTTCGCGATGGTTTGGCCTTGTGGAGCGTACTCACAATACACTACCTCACGGGAGTCGAAAAAAACTGTCAACACGATCTTGATATTGCTGCGGACCTGCCGCGCTTTTTTTGGCATCGAGGATCGTCCCCGAAAGCCTGCTGAATCTTGCGAATGGTTTCCGCTCGGGTATCGCCAAGCTTTTGGCAAAATTTGATGTAATATCGCTGCTCACGTTGTTCAGTCACTTTCCAACTTAGTGGAATCCGACGAACGCTCGCTACACGTCCTCACTCATAGGCCGACTGCCATCGATTGAACAAACCCAGGACGGTGCACGACTGTCCCGTCCACAACTCCACCGAAAAGAGACCTCCCGCGCATCATTGGGAAAAATAAAGGTCCGATACTTTTTGAAACCCCCTCGTATATCGGTAACAAGTGGGCGAAGCGACGGTAGTTAGCCGTCATAGGCGTCCAGGGGCCATTTACCGGTTTTAATATTAGTTTCACGTTAATTTAAAGAATTTAGAGAATTATCATTTACGTGAACAATTTCTTTGTATTTCTTCATAAAGACAATAGCTTATTAAAAAGCAACTATTATTAGACCGATAAATAAAACAACAAAACAACAGACAAGCCGAATCGATAACTTAATCAATTAATTTTTACTTTAAGTTATTTTACGTGATAGAATGACAATTGTAAGTGAGAGCGAGAACAACGAAAATTTGTATTCCGTAGCGATTTTAATACAGTAAGGTCTCGTTTTATGCGGTGGATACGTTCTACAGAAAAGCGCATATAAAAAAATTCGCATAAAAAAAGACTTTACTTGCCTTGAAAAGGTAGGAATATGTTCCGTAATTTTATAAAATCGCATAAAACCAAAACAACGAGTTAAAATTAACTTAAAACCGCATAAAAAAGTTTGCAAAAATTAAAAGAAATAGGCTGCTTAATAAATTACTTCGAATGTCTGAAAGAAATTCATATAAAAGCTTAAAATAAACTTGTATTCAAACTTAATTCAGTTTATTTTATTGAAAAGTAATACAAGGGGAATCCCCGAATTGCAAAAGCTCACTCTAAAAATAAATCACTGACATCTGGATGTGAAGAGTTAATTAAAAC